TAAAATGTTCTACCGTTTGTCTGCACAGAATACTTGAGCGGGAAGGATAGTCAAGCAATAATTTAAAATTAATATTTAATGTAACAAATTGCAAATATTATCCTTGTGGGCTTGTATTGATTATTTTATTCAAAGGTATATTGAATAAATAAGAGAGTATGACTCAGAAATATAATTATTTAATATTTTTATAATTTGCCTTAGAAAATTTTTTTTATCAATATCCAAACAAAACAAAAAATTTGAGAAAAATTGTTAATCCATTGAAAGAATAAAATATTATAAATTGAAAAATATCTAGGAAATGTTAAACAATAACCATGATTAGTTTAAAAATAATGACAATGAAATCTATAGAAAATAAATTTTTTAACAATATTGATATTGATATTATTTTTTCAGTTATTAATTGTATCTTATTTAGTTAATGGTATTTTTACATTTTTCCTGAGTGTTTTAGTATAGTTCAAACTGTTATATTTTCAGTACATTTTTAACTATTACTTAAGGTATTGCGATTAATATATGTAAATGTATTTTGTTAGCTCATACTCAAACTACTTACTTGCAGGGCCGTATTTACGCCTAGGCCCGTGAGGCCCGGGCCTAGGGCGGCAATTTTTTTGGGGCGGCAAATTTTGTAAGAAATAAAAAAAAAATTATATGAATATTTTATGCATTTATGTAACTGCGTGTCTGCGTAAATTAATATTATATAATATTTGATATAAGTATTTAAAAAACATAAAAGTAAATCCATGAATTTGACACATTGGTTAATTCTGTGGCCTGCGTCTTAATAAGCTATCGTATTTATCGTAATCGTAATATAAAATCACAGATTTTTATATAGAAGACAGAAATATATATTAGTATATTAGTAGTATAGATATCTGTGTGTAAAATATACGAGTGCATGACACTTAAAATATCAATAACACGAAATCAATTTTCTTGTAATGTGAATTATAAAGATAAGATACCTAGGTATATAATATGAGTTGTTCCTAAAAGTAATTACGATAATAATATTATATATATAGAAATTGACGAGAGATATTGTGTATCCACATCACACACGACCACACTTCATTTCAGTTTATTGTTCGTCATTGTCGGGCAGTGCATATTACGACAACACAATATAATATTTAATAATTAATAATTCACGTATTAAATTTACAGCAATTAACATTTTTTCAACATGAGTGACGGTCGTAAACGTTTTAGTGGTTCAGAGTATAAAAAGCGAGCCAAAGATAAAGAATATAAAGAGATTAAAGTTCTAAATAAAATACCTAAACTAAGTACTTTCTTTAAACCTACTACACCGTCTTCTTTGAATGCACCTGATAATGATCAACAACATGATTTAAAAACGATTGACGACAAAGAAATGACTAAGTGCGAATCGAATTTTGTAATTAATAACTTAACAACTTCTACTTTAAATGTGGATTCAGATACACTTTATATTGATAATAATGATCCGGCTAAATGGATTATTAATGATGTAACTCGCGATTATGTGGCAAAACACGGAATAAATCAAAATTTAAATGATGATTTTACATGTTCTAAACGTGAGTATCCTGACAAAAATAGATTTTTAAATAAATCATTATTTGTTAGAACACGTATAAATGGTGAAGTACAGTCACGACCATGGTTAGTGTTTTCGAAATCTACTGGTTCAGTGTTTTGTGCACCATGTCGACTCTTTGGAAGTACACATTTATCAACATTAGTAACTATTGGTTTTAATGATTGGAAAAATGCTGTACGAAAATTAAACGAGCACGAAAATTCTATCCCTCATAAAACTTCAACAGTTGCATTAATTGAAAGGGGAAAAACTGCAGGTAAAATAAACCAAGAAATTGTTTTGCAATTAGAACAAGAAACCAATTATTGGCGAAATATTTTAAAAAGAATAGTTGCTACTGTACGTTCTTTAGTAATTCGAGGGTTACCACTGAGAGGCAGTGAAGAAAAATTTGGGTCGTATCATAGTGGTAATTTTATTATGACATTAGAACTTTTAGCAGAATTTGACCCCTTTCTATTAGAACATATTCGCCATTACGGTAAAATCGGTAGTGGTAATACATCGTATCTATCTTCACAGACATACGGAGAGTTTATACAAATTATGGCAGAACAAATTACAAAACAAATAGTTGAAGAAGTCAAAGTTTCAAAGTATTTTTCGATAAGCGTTGATTCGACGCCCGACGTATCCCATGTTGATCAGTTGTCTTTTATCATAAGATACCTTTCAAAAGATGGTACTCCTATAGAACGATTTTTAAAGTTTATTGCCAATACTGGGCATAAATCTGAACAACTTGCTGATGCAGTTTTTGATACACTTAATCAATATAATTTGGATTTTAAAAATTGCCGCGGGCAATCATATGATAATGCCAGTAACATGGCTGGTAAATACACTGGCCTTCAAGCCAGAATTAAAGAAGTCATTCCGCTTGCCATTTATGTTCCTTGCTCAGCACATTCCCTAAACCTTGTGGGGATATCTGCCGTGGATTGCTGTGAAAAATCGACAACATATTTTAGGTATCTACAAGAATTATATAACTTTTTCACAGCATCTACCCATCGTTGGGAAATTTTACTATTTTATTTAAAAAAGGCCAAGTGTGTAAAAAGTTTGTCTCAAACCCGATGGTCAGCAAGATACGAAGCGGGTAAATCTTTATATACTTCTTGGAGTGAAATTAAAAACGCTTTACAGGCTATTATTGACGATGCCAATGAAAAACCTGTAACAAAATTTGACGCTTTGGTTCTTTTGAAACCTTTAAATACTATAGAAATGTGCTTTATGGCTGTTTTTTGGAACGAAGTATTAGAAAGGTTTCATATAGTTAATAAAAAACTTCAATCAGTTAATATTGAATTAGGAATGGTCGTTGAATTATATGGATCTTTAGAGCAGTATATATCTAGAATTAGAAATAATTTTGAAGAATATGAAAGAAAAGCTATACAAATATGCGGTGAAATACAGTATAAAAAAGACAAGCGGAGAACTGTTAAAAGAAAACGTCAATTCGACGAAACAATGAATGAAGTGATAACAGAAACAGGCAAGGAAGATTTCAGAATAAATGTATTCTTCGTTATATTGGATAAATTGAAAGCTGAACTTGTAAGACGTGGCAGTTCGTATAAAGATTTATGTGTCAAGTTTGATTTTCTTACGAATATATGTAGTTTTGACGAGGAAATTATTTTTAAAAAAACTAGGGCACTTATAGAACAATATCCTAATGATATTGAAGAATCATTTACAAATGAATGTCTTCATTTGCGTGATCATCTTTTTTTTAAATCGGACAAAAAAAGAAGCGCTCAAGAACTTTGTCAGATGTTGTATACAGATGAATTAATAGATATTTACCCAAACGTCACAACAGCGTTACGTATGTATTTGTGCACGTTTGCAACAAATTGTACAGCAGAGCGGTCATTTTCAGCATTAAAAAGAGTAAAATCGCATCTTCGTTCAACTTTGGAGTCAGATAGATTAAATGCGACATCAATACTACATATAGAATCTGAGATGCTTCGAAGTATAAATTATGATGATATTATCGACGATTTCGCGACTAAAAAAGTTCGTCGTAAAATGTTATAGATAACATAGGTATAAGATTTAAACATTTACACTGCTATTTAGAATTTAGAATTATTTGTTTTGTTTATAATGACTATTGACCTAATTTATTTAAAATTGAAATAAATTTATTGGAAATAATAACATCATTTTTTTTTTTTCTTGGGATAGGGGCGGCATATTTAAAATGGCCTAGGGCGGCACTTGTTCTAAATCCGGCCCTGCTTACTTGATCACTTTATCATTTATATAATCTTACATTTAATTAAACGTATGTTACCCATTGTTTAATTAAATAAATCAAAATACATTCTCAGAATAATTGTTTTTCTTATAATATGTGTGTACTAATATATTAATAAAACAATTTAGTTATTCAGTTATATCTCTTCAAATTGTATACAATCACAAGGTGATTGAAATATTAATGTTCAACACAACACTAACTGAAACTATTTAATAATTGATCAATGAGTAAAGAATTAGCAAAAGGCTAAAAGGACAATACTTGATTTAATAGTAATAGTCAAGACATGGCAAATTAAATTGTAAATTGTTTAATTTTCACTTTTTCAATTTTGGAATTATAATGGTTTAGTTTATATCTTATTTTTAACAAAAACTGCTGACATATATTTAAATTCAATATTATCACAATGAAACATTTATGTATATAAATTACTTAAAAATCAATTTTGCTTTTATGTAAAAATGTTTTCAAAAATATTTTTTTCTTATTTCACAATATTAAAAAAAAATCATTTTTTTTAAATTAACAATAGTTTGTAACGTGCATTGCTTGTATAAATAATTTACTTAAAAAACATTCCATACTTCTCATAAAAAAATACACAAAAGTTTTTAACTTAACTCTATGCATGACAGCCTTTTTTTTCTCTATACCATTACTAACAAAAAAAAAAAAAAAAACAAATGGCACCTGATGAGCTATATTCTAAAAAAGACATTAGTTTTGGTGTAAATGTTCGCATATTTTGCGGACTAACCTATGTCTAATTATATAATATATTAATATAGGTACCTTGTTGGTTTTCTATAAGAAAAAAAAAAAAATAACAAACTTATTGATTTTGTTAACCATACCCAAAAGTTTACATATTAATGGCACCATAATAAAAAAACGTGTTGCCAAACATTGGAATTATCACAAATTTAATTATTACTTTTTTTTTTTTGAAGACTATGAGCTTTTTTTTCAAAGTACAAAAATAAGTCTGTATTTATTAATATTATGTTATAACATAAACATTAAGTTGTTATCTTAAAATATTTATTGCATATTTTAGTCTTTATAAAAAAACTAGATACATGACTATTCAGTTAAAAAAAAAAAAAAAAATTGTCAATTTATATTTTGTATTTAAATTATTTCCAAATTTTTGTTTTCTAATAACTTTAATTAGTATAAAAAAGAGGAGGTAATAAATGGAGGAGGCCTGTTAAACTCTAGCCGCTAGGAGATGCAATGATTGGTAATTGAGCAGGAGCTCGGTTACCAGAAGTTTCATTGGAACATTGTGGTTTTCCAAGTGACCTACGCTGAACAATCATGGAATGCGATGGCGGTGAAAGTCTTTTAGCAGCAGCAAGAGGTACATCAGTTGATGAAAACAAACTGAAATGCTGCAGGAACACTCGATTAGCCGACATAGCAGACTCTGCAAATGTAGATAGGGCACGAGCACTATTGTTACGTCTAATAACACATGGTGTATTCAGTTCATGATCTTTGGGTTTTTCTTGTTGTTGTCTAAACACCCATGGATGATTTAAGACTTCAGCAGCACTTGGACGAGCGCTAGCTTCTTTAACCAGCAATTTACTGATCAAATCTTTGGCTTCATTTGAAATGTCTGCCCACTCACGGTCTGGAAATTCGTAACGACCCTCGTGAATGCTGATAAAAAGCAAACCCTAAAATAAACATTCACCATTAAAAACTTGATTTTAATTATTATTCTATGATTGTCTTGTCTTACTTGACATTCTGGGCAAGCATTTCCTGATTCCCATCCACAATTGGAGCCACAATTTCCATAAAATGGCGGATAGCCACAAAGAAGTATGTACGCCACTACTCCAAGTGACCACAAGTCACAACGCTTATCATAATAATGGTAATTAGAGTCTGGACTACCAACAAATGCATCTACCACTTCAGGAGCCATGAAATCAGCACTTCCTACTGGAGTTAATAATTGTGGTGTTGCACTGCCATCAACTGGATTTAACTTGATACCGGATCCAAGATCAAAATCACATAACTTAACAGGAGTTAATGCAACTGGATCGACACAAAGGATATTTTCAGGTTTCAAATCACGATGAGCTATGCCTATATAATCAAAACATTATATTTAATTATATTTCAGAAAATCAAACAACATTTTTTGTTGAATAAAGTACCTTTTTGATGTAAGAAATTTAATGCACTTGCCAAATCTTTGACAATAAGACTAGCTTCACATTCTGTAAATCTCTTTCGTTGTTGTATTCTATCAAGCAGTTGTCCACCTACAACCTTTTCAAACACCATGTAAAATTTGTCATCAGCTTCAAAGAATTCAAGCATTTGAATGATATTTGGGTGGCCTTGGCAATGGTAAAATGTTTCAACTTCCCGGAATACACGAGCTCGAGCATGTTCGGCAATTTTGTCAATGACTTTAACAGCAAATTCTAAGCCAGTTAACACACTTACACACGTTTGAACAGAAGCATAAGCACCTTGACCCAACACTTCACCAGTCAATTTATATGCATCTAAATAAGTAAAATATAATATATTATTAATAATTATCTAATGAACAAACAATATTTAATAAATTATATGATCTGGGAAAAAAACGAATTGTTAATTGACAATAACTATATTACAAGAATTAAATACTAAACACAATTGAAAATGTATTCTTTATTAATTTATAGATTAATCTATACATTTGAATACCTATTTGATTAAATATTTTATGCATACTCTGAAATGTTGATCATATTATAAAACATATGCATTTATCAATAAATAAAATTGTTCATACTTAATATATAATTAATAACTGATAATGTTTATAAATATATCATGGTTAACTTTATCTTTTTAATCTAATAGTTAAAAATAATAATTTAATTACTAACATGTGGGTAATAGGTATCTATGAAAGTGAATTTCATACGTAAAAAATATTGTATCAAATACTTATATTTTAAGCTCAAACAATTTTAGTTTTTGAATTCTTTATTTATAAATAACATATTTGATATAAATATTGTGAGTTAAAAATGTTTATATCATATAAATTTCTATGTTGTTTAGAACCAATTAAAATTTGAATTTACTTGTCATAAACTTAAATTATAATATGATAAGAATATATTGCAATATTTCATCATTAAATTATTAAGTACTTACTACTTATAACTAAATTCACATTAACTAGAGATTAAATTCAGAAGAAAACATAGGTCTTTAGATTTAATAATTTATGTATATAACTAAGTTATTGTTCATTTATCTAAAAAAAATTTACTATCCAATATGATTAAGATAAATAATTATTTTATTCCTGGAGTAACTATAAAATGTATTAAATTTAAGAAAATAATAGTGTAATAGTGTATGAAATAATAACATTTCAATGACATTTTAACCTTCAGTATTTTTTCAATTACATTTTTAATAGTTTATTAATTTGTATGAAATTTTAATAAAAGCAAAATATTAAATAGGTAGTATTAAACGTTAATAAAAATAATGGAAAATGAAACATGAGGTATATTCATGAAATATCAAACTCAGCAACTTATTTCTGTTGGTCACTGGTTGACCAAGTCATTGCATGTTAACATTTTGGCAAAAGTACAGTCGTTTTATTAACAGTAACAAAAACTATTAAAAGAGAATGACCTACAAATAGTCATCGGCCAAATAATCATCATTTCAAGCAAATTAATTAAAATATAACAAATCAGTATTGTTTTATATTTTAAATCATAATGAATAATATATACCTACATCTCATAGAGCATACATACCTTGGAAACAAGATGTCACAAGGCTGTTAGTGATCTTCTTCTTCTTACGCTTGTTGCGTGCCTCTTCTTTTCTCAACGACAGCGATTCATTCTTTCTTTCAACAGGGACATCTGTCAATCAAAATTGGAATGCTCATTAGAATTAAATCTTAATACAAAAATTGTCTTCCTATACTTGGCGATTCTGAGGAGCTAAATATACTTACTTTGGGTGCTCTCGGTTTGTCCGGGGGTTTCTTCTTCAATAGTACTCTCGACCATTGTGGTTGATGACGGCGTTGCGCGAGAAAATCAGTGGATAATACTTATGGGAGTGAATAGTGGAACACGACGTGTACACGTTCGTTAATAAACGGCGCAATCACGAAATAATTTAATAACGAATAAATATTTAATTTAAACTTAAAAAAAAAACAATATCACAGCACTTAATAATTATCTGTCGACGAACGTAATATCAAAAATTAATTGGTTGTACAATATTACGCTTCTTCGCCCGTATAACAATATGACTATAAATATAATATCTTTTATCGACTCGTTTCTTTCTTCTTTTTTTTTTTCTCCCGAATTATCAGCGGGTTTTCACTCGGTATTAATACAGGGCGAAAGATAATTATATAGAAATACTAAATAAATAACGAATAATTTACAAAAACCGGGACGTGTAGGACGACGTGGTAATACTTTTGAACGACCGACGGTACAAATATTATTATTATTATTATTATTTCATTCGATCCCGGGAGCGTTGTTACGGTCGCACACGGTTCTCGGCTACACAAGACACACGATTCCGACGGTACACTACAGGAGCACAGCAATAACGGTTGCGCCAAGTCTTATTATATAATTCGTCTTCTGTTGCTGTACTACACACCACAAGGCATGCAAATGCGAACGCGACGAACGTTTTGGGTCGGCAACGAAACGGTCTCGAACGCGACTCTCGACTGACTGACTAGTGACTGGCTGAACTGAACACGCCACAAGGTAACGGCGGACCGGCCTGCTGGTGGTGTTGTTGTTGTTGTTCGCTTTCTCGCACACACACACACATATACACACACAGACACGTCATACACACCGAAACACGCTAACCGCTGGTTATGCAGTGTTGATGGAAACCGGCGCACGACGACACTACCAGCGCGGCCGACCGTCGCGTCCCCTTTTATACAGGACACCGCGCGTCCCGCCGCAGCGGAGGCACGTTTTATTTAGGCGGCGTACACACCGGCCGCGCGCGTATGCTGTGTCGTACGGAAACGAAACGCTCGACGTCGCGGTGGTGGCAGCGGTGGCGGAGGTTGTGGTGGTAGTGGTGGCGGTCGTCTGGTCGTCATCGCCGCCGCCGCCGCCGCTTTTATTGTGTTGTTTTTTTCGGCCGACCGTGTGGGCTCTATTCCATTTTTTTTTTTCTCCTTTTCACTCGTCTTCGTTTGCGTTGACGTCACGTTTTTTATCTCCGTAGAGGCAACACACATCACATTGATGATGATGATGATGACGATGATGATGACGAAGATGATGCTGATAATGATAATAATATTATTGTGTATCCGTAATAGCTGCGGCGTAGAGTGTCTTTCACCCTCCCATCACGACATTGGTTTTTTATTATTTAAATAAATTAAAAAATTATAATACTACCTCGTAAGCGCGTCTGACGTAGGTATTTTATCGCTTTTTTTTTTTTTTCGTTATTATCATCTCCATTATCCTGGACCCAACAGTCGTTAGGTGGGGGAGGGGAAAGGGGCTAGTTATTGGTACGCGTTGTGTGCTATAGCTGAGAAACACCTATAATAACTAATAGTGATCTTACGCTACCATAAATCATAAAATCTGATTAAATTAATATAAAATGGTACACGTACAACATCTTGTATGGTGCACGGTATAATACACGTGTGACGTGTCTACTGCGTCTCGTGATTTCTAAAATTTTATACCTAAACCGAGTGTAACAATTTAATAATTAATATTATGTTGTTCTCGGTAACCGGAGTGTAAACCCGTTGGAGTGTTATGGATGAAAATTATATATCGCCCTCCAATTTCGTTAATGTTATGATAGTATGGTACTATTCAGAAGTGCACACGACTGCGGTTGGGAGCTGCGTACTACGCATTTCATATTTTAAACAATTTACTGTAAATAATACACGAAACCCGGCTTGGTTGTTATTGGCGTGTTGTTACTGAACGTATAATTTATAGGAACGTGTAGTATGTGCCACACGTTACTGTGTCTACCGTGCGGATGACACATAATGATAATATTATGATAATCTGACACTATGTCAGTATTATAAATACAAAATTTACCGGTACAACTTACATAAAATTCGGTAAATTTAGAAAATTTTTAAGTGATTTTTTTGTCATTTTACCTATTCAATAACCTATTCGGTTATTTCTAAAATTGTTCACGCTGATATTAAAATTAATGGTTATAATTTATTCCATAAGTGATGACATTTTTAATTGATAAAATAAAATAACCATGGTTTTATATAAATTAATAAGTAAATATTAAAATATAAAATATATTAATACAGGTAGTATAAATGTTTAAATTTATTCTAAAATTCAAATCGTGTAAACAAGTAATGATACCTATTATTGATCACACTATTTACCTTTTCAAAATATGTAAAAAAACTAAATATTCATAGTTTTTTTGTCTATAATAGATTATTAAAATAGTTTGTTAGTAAGTTTCTAAATTATAGTTATTACAGTTGTAAAAACATTTAAAATGAAGTCATTCGTTTTTAACAATGGTAAAAAAAATGTATAAAAAATGTGGGTAAATTTACTTTTACAAGTAAAATTTACCGAGCTCACGTCTTTAATTTGTATAATATGTTATTACTTATTACAGTATTGTTGTTGTCGTATATTCGTATAATATATCTTACTCGTATTTATTTTGTTGTATATATTTATCACAACCGAGGATGATTAGGAGTTGTATCTTATTCACACGAATAGTGTACTCTGTAACCACCCACCTACCTACCTACGATATCCACTAACCATAATATTGTAGTGTAGTCGTTACTCGTTAGCGTATTTCATATATTATTCATACACGATACGAGTTCATGATCGTTCAAAACATTTGAAATTGTATATTATAATTTATAATATATTGATAAATTGCATCACTGCTTTTTATTTTCAAAAACATTATTACTTTTTTTAATTTTGTATTTTCGAATTTCTATTTTTATTTTAAATATGCGTTACAAACATTCATTTATACTACAAAAATTAAATGTTTTATTGAACATTTGGTTTAGACTGATTGAAAACAATACAAATTTAATGGTAGCTGTTTATTAATTTACAGATGAAATTATTTGCTTATAAAATTTATATTCATAGTTATAGTATATTGGATATTAACTTATAAACAATTTTTTGAAAAAATAAACATAAAATCTTATTTTAAAACTGGATAGGATTTATATCCTATAAGTATAAACACAAATTATAACGTAATTTTATTCTTGACAAATAGGTAAAAAAAAAAAAAATTAGATGGGTTTTTATTTAATTTAACTATTGCTTATTGATTTTATATTAATTCACTGTGTATTGCTATTAAACATTTTAGACTTAAGTTATTAAATCAAAGAAACGTTATCGTCAAATGCCAATTTATAGTGTTCAATGAATAATTATATTTTATCATTAATTAATAAGCAATAATATAAAATAAAATTATTAAATTACACGTGTTATAGCCTAAAATTATAACACAAGTCGTAACTTGTAATGATTTACACAATTACACGTACACAAAATAATTTAAATTGTATTTAATATTAAATAATAAATACACATGCAATTATGCTTACATATTGCAATCAATTTTGAATTTTTATTCTTTTTACCTAACAAATCTTAATAATTTGTTGTCTTGTAGAACAGTAAAAATATAAAATTTGAATATTACTTTGATACTTAATTGTTTGCGATGATAATAACCAAAAATCAGATAAACGATATTTAATAAATATCTGTTATTCTTAAGATGTATAATTTACAATTTAACTTTGGTAATTTATTTATTTTCGTTTTAATTCTATGATCACATTTTATGGGAGAATGTAGAACGTTTATAATTATAACATGATATTTATATATAATATATTAATATGTGTATACTGTGTATTATTATTTGTTCGTTTGTATAATATAATAATCATATAATTTATATTCATATAAGTTGGCTGTTGAGTTACATTTATTTATTTAAACCTTTTATTATTTTAATATCAAAAAAATTTTTATTTCAATTTAGAATTTAAAAAATAAGAAAATTCTAAGAAAATGAATAAAATATAATTGGTAAGTATTTAGATCAGTTAAAAATATAAATTCTTAATTTAGTAAAATATATCGAGTTGAGTGGGTTGTACATCATAGTGAAAAATAAATTAATTTAATACATGATATCAGGAAACAATATTATATTTGAGCAAAATACGTTATATAACTGAGTATAATAATAGTAACAAATTGGAAATGCGTGTATCTTACTGTATAGTGTAAACGCATAATAACGTACAAAACTATATCTAACACGATTAACACTATACAATGTATATATTTTGTTTTTATATTTAAATTACGTTCCGAGTTCGTTTTACCATAGATTATATTTCCGGTATTTAAAGATGACATAGACTAAAGATTTATTTTATACTGAAAAAAGGAAAAGTTATTTTAGTCCTTGGATAGGTATACTATCATTTAAAGCTGTTACATTCACAAATTTTGGTTTATTGGACAAATTATTTAATGTATTGTGATTACCTCGTATAGGCCGTATAGCAATTTAATAAAATAACTACAGATCCAAGTCGTGTCTAACAAAATATAGGTAAGCTTTGAGGTCTGCCTAATAAGTTACCGCACAACTCTGTATGACGTTTAAACGTAAACACACAGTAAAAACTAATAAATAAATAATAAGAATATTTGAAATCTTTAATTGCTCCCATTGAAAAATATCGATACCTATAACAGGATAAATATCTAATGAAAAAAATATGATATAATAATTAAGTGGGTAATATAGGTATAGCGGATTATCGTTCTAAAATATTTGTATTTATTACTATGTACTAAGCGCTTATAGGCTTTAAATACAATAAATTTCTATATATTTTTTTAAATACCTAAAACTAATATAAGTAATATAGACCATTGCATCATATCAAAGTTTGAATCTATTAAAAATATATCAAAATATATTTGTTATAGTTTTAAAAAATAATGTCGAGCACTCGAGCGTAATTCGATATACTTAATTGAATCGTCGGTACGAGTACATGTATCTTAATATTGTTATAATTTATAATCTATTTTGTCTTGTTATTATTTTATTCAGTTGGTTATGCAAAACATTGTATTGTTATTGAGAATTCGGACAAGGCGTTTATGCAGTGGTTAGTATCAATAAAACAATTATCACCGCTTTTTGCATATAAAGCTGCGATACAAGCGATTCGCATTGAACGTATTCTTAGAACATAATATGAAGTATAAATAGATTGGGAGAAATTTTTTTACACATAGTTTGCATTTGAACATCGAAAGTTCAAAATATTAAACCCATTGCAGCTGTACCCGATACCGGAATATCATGATAAATTACTCACACCTTACGATTAATGGCGTACCCATACACCACATAGCTTTCAATATGAGGAGGTTCGGAGTTACGAAGTCAGGTTATGTATTATTTATTTACACATAAATATATATATTATATCAGTTAGTCGATCCACAATTGGTTGTTTTATTTGTAACACTAATAATTATCAGCAATTATTATGGTAATAATATATTAAATAGTAAGGACGCGAATTATTGTGGGCTGCGACTGTTGAATTAAGCAATAGGATGATTTACCAAAATAGAACGTGTCGCCGTGTCGATATTATTTAACCTCCTTCTCCTCTCTCTCCTCAATATACTCGTACATTATAAAATATAGATAAGCCATGAGCCCATAAAGTACGTACATAACACAAGACCGATTAAAATCGATTTTATTAAAATAATTAATGTTCTAACCACGATAATAAAATATATTAAATACCTATTATTAATAATAATACTTGTGAGTTGCGATA